AGCAGCTGAAGTGTGCATAAAATATCAAGCACTGCATTAAGACTCTCTGTTTCTTACTCATGTCATTAAAATTCAGCGACATATTTTATGCCAATTGCTGCAAGAAATATATGCTAAATAAAACGTTGATTAATGTTTTTTTACTATGTTATTCTAAGGTCTATATTTCTGCTTGCTTCATTTAGACAATTTTATACGATAGAAATATAAGAAAACTAAAATAAAACATATCAATCTTAAAATTTTACGTTTAACGTAAAATGATTTAATAATTCAAATTTCGATTGCAAAATGCAATTATACTGATGCGATGCACACGATTGCGGCTGAACGGCTCATCGACCTATCGCTGACTCGAGAGTCGCTCCGAGAATCTTGATTAAATATTTGACGAGCAGATTATGAAGTTTAAAGTACGGAAAGATGGCTACTTTTCTTCTGGCTGACTGAGCTCGACAGTTTTACCGTTCATTACGGCGCGGCTTGCAGTTCGAGAAAAAAAAATTCACGGCGAAGCAAAGAAGCGTGTTTATACGTGCTCCAATCAATCGCGCCGAGTGCGCGTATATTCATGCGTTTAACAGCGTCGATAACGAACGACGCATTCGTGTCGATACTTAGCAATCTGAGAATTTCTTTTGAAACACCAAGTTTTATAGAATTTAAAAAATCATTTCAGATTTTGCACGCGGCAGAAAAAAATGTGAGAGCATTTACAGATTGGAAGTCAAAAATTAACTCAAAACATATTTGAGAAAATAAATGAGAGAAAAACTAAATGGTGAAATTAAGTTTGAAAAAAAAAATGCTTGAGCGACAAATTTTCAGTGTCAGAAACTTCGGTTGTCACTTTGTAATAAGCGACGCAACATGCGGTTGTTTATAATTGTCTACAATGCAGCCCTGAAACAACATAGGAAAAATGGGAAGATAACGTCCCGTCGAAATGAATACTTCGAAAAGACATTAACTTGTCGTTAAGCGACTTTCGAAGGAAATCTGAGCGAATTCGCTTTCTCTTTCTCCTGCACGTTTATTCGGTCAAAGCGCGATTGCGTTATCAGCACTTTCGATAAGAACACAAACAAAATAACGACTGTTATCCATCCTGAGAAAGCGATACGAGAAAAGGAAAATGTGGAATTTTAGGCCAGCGAGACAATTCTATCTTATCGAGTGATATTTCCAACGTCACTGAGATTTCGACGATATAATCGAATGTCATAAATAAAAAAAGAGGCAAAGGGAACTATCGAAAAAACGATTCTATATTTTTATACTTTAACTTTTTATATTTTTATACTCTTTTATGCTCTAACGATAAAATCCGCAAGTGGAATTTACTTAAATTTAAATATTCGGCTAATTCAATTTTGTGATATTATTTTCTTCAGAGTAGAATCTTGTCACGCGTATACATTCATTTCAACAACGCAATTCTTAATAGTTTTGGAATTCTTTAAATGAAATAGAATCGCGGTATCGATAATCAGATCTTACGTGATTCTTGCGAAGCTCGTTAAATCCGCACGCTCACGTATGCGTGCGTGCATTATGCGGTGCAAGGTGCATGTCCGATATGTGCCGGTGCGATGCTCATTAACCAACGCGTATTATCTCGCCGCAATTAACGCGCGATCCAAAGCCAATTACAAGCAAGCGAGGCGCGAAAAGATTTAATTAACCAGCAGCGACTCGTTCACGTTTTTCGCGTTTTCTCGCGGAACATTATTTCGAAGCAAATTTCGTAATGAGTCCTTCGAATCTAACTGTTTAATTATTTAAAATGTACAGTCCAAATCCCCGGACTATTAGCTGCGACTTGGGAGGCACGATGATAACGTCGAGTCACCCCGCCGCAAGAATCGTCCAATTGTCGTACCGCAAAAGAAACCGCGCGCATGAAAGAAATCTAAATCGAGACAGCTCGTCGCGAGAGATGAACAACCGTTTTGTACGATGACTCTTGCCGGTGATGATCACGACCGAGTCGCCTGAACTCCATTACGCGCGATAACCTCTTCTCGAAGACTATGAAGAGGATGACGACGACAATGACGTTACATCGAACGAGGAGTAACAATGTGTTCAAAAATCGGTATAACAATGTATTCGAGAAAAATAAACCGTTAAAAATTCGCATATTACTTTCACTGTTGCAAGTTATTTAGCCGTTGTAAAACACTTAATAACACGCTTAAATATTACAATTGATATTATTATCAAATTAATAATTAAATTGTTAATTATTAATATTATTATTGAAGTTTCTTTATTCGATCACTTATTCTTAAGATCAAGATGATTTAAGTATATAATAATTGATAGTACATTTTTATGCAAATTTTTCCAAGTTTTTCTGCAATAAAAAAATAAAAAAATAAAGTAATAAAAACCTAAAAGTTACAATTCTTTACTAATAAGATTATAAAGGTTAGCAGCGTTTTAATCATTTCGAGTTTGAATATATTGTAGAAGCGCAAGTAATACAATACTGAAGAATTTATTTTAGAAGTTTGAAAGATCCTAGAAACCGTTAGCTCAAACCAAACTATTTCGTCAATTCATAAAATTCTAAAGAAAATTTTTCAAAAGTTCTAAAAATATTCAAAACCATAAATCTTCAGGCTTGTAAAACTTATTTTAGAAAGTCTTTGAAAAGAAGAAAAAGGAGATTTTTCAAAAAGTTTAAAAGATCCTAGAAACCATTAAGGTCAAACTATTTCGTTAAAGTGCAATTCACAGAATTTTAAAGAATATATTTAGGTCGAAAACACATGGTCGGAAACCATTTAAGTTGTAGAACCTTCCTCAGGTCATGGTAAGGAACTCATGTCCATCGAATTTCTAGCATTCGGCTTCTCAGGTTCCGAGCTAAAATTAGCAACCTGTGCACCGAGAGAACGCTGTTGCAACTTGCAACTATCCACCACTATCCGAGTTTCTACTCTTGTCTAACGTGGGATATATGCCTTTCTAAAGACATCCTTTTCAATTCTCTTGTTCCCTTCGAATGTATTCTGACTAATATTTGCTTTCAAATTATTTTGCTACGAGCACTGCGCCTCCCATTTCTGAAATTCCCCAGCGCTGCATCTGACATTGCTAAATTTCACAGTCGCCAAAAATGTATGATTGTTTATGAAATGTAAAAAAAAATGTTTTATTAAAGTAAGATCAATTTTAACTGTAATGTTATTAATATAATCGCAATCGGAAACACGTGTTTCCCCCATTTCAGTTTATGTAACAGATCATTAACGATAATGGCACACGATAATAATAAAACTAAAGCTTTATATCGCAATATTTTAGAAACGAAGAATACTTTTTATCTAAGAATTTGCGCTTTTGATTACCTTTCATAAAAATGAAATTCTGGCGGATTTATTCATTATACATTCGTCTGATGACGAGGCTTAACAGATCGTTAGAACAATTTTGAGCGAGTGCTGGCCCAACTTATTTTAATATACATTCATCGTACGCTCAGTGCAAAATTAAAATACAAAACTTTGAAGCCAGTTTGTAATTGAATAAATATATCAATATTTATCCACATCGACATTCGAGATTTTGCAAGACTCATCACATTAATGCAAGATATAAGAAAAAAAAATTAAAAGTAAGGAAAATATGCGGCCGAAAGACCGAGACAGATTAAGTGTTCGTGGCGTATACGCAAAACGAGAGAGGAGTGCAGCGAAGAGGGAAAATGCACAGAACAGACAGAATGGGGCAACGGGGGGAGGGTTACGGCAGGCATGGTGAGACGGTCGAAAGAGGCATGTACGAGCGGGGCGGAGAGGGAGAGAAAGAGAGAGAGAGAGAGAAAGAGAGGACTGGGTGGGGCAGCAGCCAGACGCCCCGCGGCAAACTGTCAAACTACGCCGGCGGTTCCGCAAGCCGTCCCGTCCGTGGCCGTCGTCGGCCGCCCCCATGATTAAAAACTCTCTATGGCTTTTCCGCGAGTACGCGTGCGCGTGCATTTTCCAACGGTCCTTCCGCAGGACACAATGCTAGAGACGCAAAATGCGAAATCGAGAAAAAAATTTTAACGTAAGAAACAAAGAGAAAAGAGATCGGGAATAGAAAGTTGAGAGAAATATTGCTTAGGCCATACAACATATGTTTCTCCATTCGAAATGAAAGATAAATGCATTCGGAAAGGTGATGAGAATTTATTGCAGGCCCAGCGACGACAGACCCAAGGTTAATGGCATGCTGTGGGAGAAAATGGTACTCTTGGAAAAGTCACGTTTTTTTTTTTTTCCACTCCGAAGAAATGCAACATCGGCGAAGAAGCAACACGGAAATGCGGCGTGCATTGCGAACGACGAGAAAAGGGGAGGATTTCGGAAGAAAGGGCGATGAGAGAAAGAGAGAGAGAGAGAGAGAGAGAGAGAGAGAGAGAGAGAGAGA